TATATATATATATATACACTAGTGTTTGATCCCGTGTATTATATGGGGTAATTCAAAAAATTAAATCATGTCAGGAAACTTATCTTACAGATATGAATGATCATCGAAAGTAAGATGTTACTTCAAACTTGTACTATTGAAATAACTCTAAAGAATGACTCTTCAGACTTGAATTTAGAAATGAAATTATATTAATAACTAGTTAAAATGAAGTTAACCTTAGAATAATATTGAATTTAGAAATGAAACTATATCAACAAATTGAATTTAAACTTATAAGTAAATTTAGAATGACTCTTCAAACTTGTATTCTTGAAATAACTCTGAAGTATAACTCTGAAAATGACTTCTTGTACTCTTGAAATAACGCTAAAGAATGACTTCAGACTTGTACTCTTGAAATAATTCTGAAAAATAACTTTGAAGAATGATTCTTCAGACATGAATTTAGAAATGAAACTATATCAATAATTAGTTAAAATGAAGTTAACCTTAGAATAAAATTGAATTAAAACATAGAAGAGCGCCCGTGTCAAATCTGAAGACGAATCTAAAGAGCTTGAGTTTAGAGTTATTCAAATACCCAATATCTTTGAAAAATACCCCATGGTAAAGCTGCATCATATAGAGCAAGACCAAACAAAGCTCCTCTGGCCCTTAAGGACCAGAGCCCCTTTAGATTCACCAACCAAAAGCATAGCCAACCCAAAAACAAGGCTAAACAAAGGCCCTCTGGCCAACCAGAGCCTCTGGTTCGTCTATCCAGAATCTTTTGGTCAAGAAAATGTTAAATACTTAAAGAATTTGAGTTTCAATAACAACCAAAGACCCTTTGGTTAAAGATGAAGATCAACCAGAGCCCATTTGGTTCCTTTATGATGGATTGGAATATTTTTTCAAGTTTCAAATAAACAACCAGAAACAAAGCCATCCAGAAGCCAAACCAACCAGAGGGGCTCTAACTTACAAAACAAAGTCTAAGACTTAAAGACTTATCTTCAAAGTCTAGATGAGTTTATTGCAAGACTTGTACTCTTGAAATAACTCTGAAGTAAAACTATTCAGACTTCAGAGCTCTGTATAGGCAAGCCAGAAGCTCTACATACACTATGCAGAGGTTCTTCATGGTGCTCCGTCTGGAAAAGAAGACTTCAGAGTTCGGATGAGCTAACTCCGAAGAATGACTCTTCAAACTTGTACTCTTGAAATAACTCTAAAATAAAACTCTAAAGAATGATTCTTCAGATTTGTACTCTTGTAATAACTCTAAAATATTAAATCAATCCACTAAATCAGAGTTCAGACTTCTAAGTCTGAAAAAGAAGACTTCACAGTTCAGGTGAGCTAAGTTTGGAAAAGAATACTTCAGAATTCGGGTGAGCTAACTCTGAAGAATGACTCTTCAGACTTGTACTATTGAAATAACTCTGAAGTAAAACTCTGAAGAATGACTTTAGACTTGTAGAAGACTTTAGAGTTCCGGTTTCTAAGTCTGAAAAAGAAGACTTCAGAGTTCCGGTTTCTAAGTTTGAAAAAGAAGACTTCAGAGTTCGGACTTCTAAGTCTGATAAAGAAGACTTCATAGTTCAGACTCCAGAGTTTGGGTGAGCTAAGTCTGAAAAAGCAGACTTCAAAGTTCAGGTGAGCTAACTCTAAAGAATGACTTCATACTTGTTCTCTTGAAATAACTTCGAAGTAAAACTCTTCTGACTTCAGAGCTCTGTATAGACAAGCCAGAAGCTCTGCATGCACTATGCAGAGGCTCTGCATGGTGCTCCGTCTGGAAAAGAAGACTTCAGAGCTCGGGTGAGCTAACTCTGAAGAATGACTCTTCAGACTTATACTCTGGAAATACCTTTGAAGTAACACTTTGAATAATAACTCTTCAGACTTGTACTCTTGAAATAACTCTGAAGTATAAAATCAATCCTACTAAATTAGAGTTTAGACTTTTAAGTCTGTAAAAGAAGACTTTAGAGTCCAGACTTTAGAGTTCGGGTGAGCTAAGTCTGGAAAAGAAGACTTCATAATTCGGGTGAGCTAAGTCTGGAAAAGAAGACTTCATAATTCGGGTGAGCTAATTCTGAAGAATGACTCTTCAGACTTATAATCTTGAAATAAATTTGAAGTAGAACTCTGAAAAATGACTTCAAACTTGTAGAAGACTTTAGAGTTCAAACTTCCGAGTCTGAAAAAAAAGACTTCGGATTTCGGGTTTCTAAGTCTGAAAAAAAACACTTCAGAGTTCAGACTTCTAAGTCTGAAAAAGAAGACTTCAGAGTTTAGGTGAGCTAAGTCTAAAAAAGGCATACTTCAGAGTTTGGGTGAGCTAACTCTGAACAATGACTTCAGATTTGTTACTTGTAATAACTCTAAAGTAAATCTCTTCAGACTTCAGAGCTCTATATAGGCAAGCTAGAAGCTTTGCATGCAATATGCAGAGAATCTGGATGGTGATGTGCATGGTGCTTTGTCAGGAAAAGAAGACTTCAAAGTTCGAGTGAGCTAACAATGAAGAATGACTCTTCAGACTTGTACTCTGTAATAACTCTGAAGTAAAACTCTGAAGAATGACTCTTCAGAGTTGTACTCTTGAAATTACTCAGAAGTATAAAATCAATCCCACTAAATCAGAGTTCAGACTTCTAAGTTTGAAAAAGAAGACTTTGGAGTTCAGACTTCAGAGTTCGGGTAAGCTAAGTTTGAAAAAGAAGACTTCAGAATTTGAGTGAGCTAACTCTGAAGAATGACTCTTCAGACTTGTACTTTTGAAATAACTCTAAAGTAAAACCCTGAAGAATGACTTCAGACTTGTAGAAGACTTCAAATTCTAAGTCTGAAAAAGAAGACTTCAGAGTTTGGGTTTCTAAGTCTAAAAAAAAGACTTAAGAGTTCAGACTTCTAAGTCTGAAAAAGCAGACTTCAGAGTTTGGGTGAGCTAACTCTAAAAAATGACTTCAGACTTGTTCTCTTCAAATAACTCTGAAGTAAAACTCCTCAGACTTCAAAGCTCTGTATAGGCAAGCTAGAAACTATGCATGTACTCTGTAGAGGCTCTGCATGTACTATGTAGAGGCTCTGCATGGTGCTCTCTCTAGAAAAGAAGACTTCCTAAATATACTCAAAATAAACTGTTGGTCCTAGTTGGATTTACAAGAGTTTATAGGTAACAATTTATAGAAGGAGGGGGGNCATGGTGCTCTCTCTAGAAAAGAAGACTTCCTAAATATACTCAAAATAAACTGTTGGTCCTAGTTGGATTTACAAGAGTTTATAGGTAACAATTTGGGGGGGGGGGAGTGAATACAAACACAAAAACTTTCACTTTTAAAAATTATATATTGATAAAAAAGGATTAATACAAATTTTACAGATTGTTTGCGGATAAAATAAAGTAAAGAAACCTATCTAAGCAATCTAAAGATACACACAATTACACTTAGCAGAGATAAAATATTTGCTGTAAGAAATAAAGACTTGGAAAAGTGTTTTTCATTTGTTCAAAGTGATTCTTTCTCTTTAGAGAGAGAGAGAGTAGTGAGAGAAATAACTTCTTGGGTAAATTTCTTAGAGAGGAAGAATTATTGATAACTGAGTAGAGAACACTCAACTATTTATACCGATTGCATTATGTGTAATTCATAAGGTACACAACACATGTTAAGATTTTAGAGGAAAACTTGTCCTTTGCTACAGTGAATAGTCATTTTGGCTATTCATGACCAGACATCTTTTATTAGAGTTGGTGAGAACTATAGAGTCAACTGAGTGGCTCCGTACAATACTATATTCTGGAAAATGTATGGGTTTGTCCTTAGTGTGTAGAAGGACCAAAAAAAAAACAAACGTGCATGATAAGCTTCATTTGATTGCTGAATGTTGGGATGACACTGGAGGTTTCTTCAGCATTCGCTGAAACTTGTTCAACAGTCTTCATACATTTGTTGACGAGCTTGTAATCATTAATGCCGCTTCAGATCATGAATGCGCTAGTCTCTATTCTTTAGTTTCTGTTTTCGACATTGTTGAAGGTTCTTTGGTGTGACTTTTGTCTTCCTTGAAGTATAACAGTTACTGGAGAGTTATAATACATGTCCAGTGATCAACAGACTCAGTGATGATCGTTGAAACTAAATAAATATAAATACTATACTTCAATAGGTAAAAGGGATTATCATCAAATCAATGAGAGAGAATCAACATAAACGATCAAACAAAGTAATAAAATCAATTACCACACGATCAATCAAAGAAGACTTCAGAGTTCGGGTAAGCTAAGTCTGAAATCAGAAGACTTCAGAGTTCAGACTTCTAAGTCTTAAAAAGAAGACTTCAAAGTTTAGACTTCTTTGATTGAATAAGAAGACTTCAGAGTTCAGACGTTAGAGTTCGGGTGAGTTAAGTCTGAAAAAACATACTTCAGAGTAGGATCCAGTTTCCTACTTTATGATCTTCTTCTTTAATCTCTCAATTACTGTGAAGAATGACTCTTCAAACTTGAATTTAGAAATGAATCTATATCAATAATTAGTTAAAATGAAGTTAACCCTAGAATAAAATTGAATTTAGAAATGAAACTATATCAGTAAGTTGAATTTAATTAGAAGCAAACACCATTTTTTTTTCAGGAATCAGTTACCACACGAATTAATTAACGTAAGAATAAAATCAGTTGCATCCTAAATTAGTGGGATTGATTGAATACGAAGTCACGTGTTAATCAAATGAGTCTAATTGAATTGTTAATGTAAATTGTGACTAGATACGTTCAAATGAGTCTAATTGAACTGCTATTGTAAATTGTGTCTAAATACATGTTTAGGCTGGGAAAACACTAAAATTGGCTCACCAGAAGATGACATGTGTCACGCCACTTATTTATTATAAGTATACACACACACACACACACACACACACACACACACACTAGATGGGTACTCGCACAATGCAGCGAGATACAACTCGATTTTAATTTTTTTTTGTCTCGGTCGATGATATAAAAAATTGAATTTTTTTTATATTAGTACCAAAATATAGTTAGTTATACGAATTCAAACATTAAACTTTAATAAGTTGTACTTATGTAAAATTTACTTGTAATCTTGATTTTTAAGTAATATGCATCAATAAACAGTACTTCAAACATAAAATACGGTTTTAAGAGTTTTTATCAAATAATATATAATATAGTATAGATATATAGTGTGTATATATATATATATATATATAGTTAATTATTTTTATTTGATATATAGTTTATAATTGTATTTGGTATTCATTTCAACCCTTAAGTTTTTATTGGAGCGGTGGGGTTGTCATTATTTTGTTATAATTTTTTTTTTCAGAAAATTACTAGTGTTTTTTAATCAGAAAAAGTAATTTGATCGTAGAAATTAAAAGCAATATATTTATCATATTATCATTATCATTATTATTATTATTATTATTATTATTATTATTAAATATAATTCATTTAAACAAATAAAGTTTATATATAGTTTTAAAAAAACTTTTGTTTTGTTTTTTGGATGACAGGGATTGTTACTTTTGGTGGTATCTGTGGAGAAAATCCCATTGAAGCATCGGATACTACCCTTTTTTTTGGCCCTTTACATCATCAACATCGGAGAAGGTGGTCACCGTCCATGTATCCAGACCTTCGCCGCCGATCAGTTTGACGACAATCTCGCCGCTGAGAAACTCGCCAAGAGTTCATTTTTCAACTGGTGGTACCTGGGGATTGTGATTGGTGCCACCACTTCCATTCTAGTTGTCATTTACGTCCAAGATAATATTGGATGGGGTTGGGGTTTTGGCATACCGGCGATAGTGGTGGCGGTGGCGCTTCTGGTGTTTTTAGTTGGAAAAAGTACGTATCGCAAGGAGGTTCGAGTGGGGAGCCCACTTACCAAGGTGGCTCAAGTGATGGTGGCGGCAGTTAGGAAGCGGCGGTTGTCGGAGGATAACGACGGTTTCGAAATGTGTGTTGAGGTAGGGGAAGGTGGGGGTACTGCAACTCGATCCTTGGATCGTACCAACCAATTCAGGTACAAAATAGTTTCATTTAGTTTGAGGATTTTTTTAGCGATCACAAACATTAAAATTCAAACCACAAGTTTGTTGCATAATGGTTGAGATCCGAGAATGAGGTAGAATATCCCATCTATCAGAATTTGATTCTAGGTGCATACAACAAATGTGGCCACTAAAAAACATTCAAATTCACATATTTTGACAGGTTTTTGGACAAGGCAGCAATGGTGGACGAAATAGACAGATCGACGGGTAAAACCAATGATTGGCGACTTTGCACCGTGAACGAGGTGGAGCAGGTGAAGCTCCTCCTCCGCCTCGTCCCTATTTGGTTATCTTGCTTGATGTTCGGAGTCGTCATAGCCCAACTCGGCACCTTCTACACCAAACAAGCCAGCACCATGATTCGCACCATTGGCTCGCATTTCCAAATCCCCCCTGCATCTCTTCAAGTCATCCCTGGCCTAACCATCCTAACCGCAGTCCCACTCTACGAGCGCCTCTTCATCCCCACTGCGAGACGCTTTACCAACCATCCAACCGGAATCACAGTCCTCCAACGAATCGGGTTTGGGATTTTCTTCTCAATCTTGACCATGATGGTATCAGCTCTAGTCGAATCCCGGAGGCTCAGAATTGCATCAATGGACGATCCAAAATCGATTGTTCCAATGAGCGTTTGGTGGCTAGTGCCGCAATACGTTCTGATGGGGATCTCTGATATGCTTACGATTGTTGGATTACAGGAGTTGTTCTATGATCAAGTGCCAGATGAGATGCGAAGTATGGGGGCAGCCACATATTTGAGCGTTCAGGGTGTCGGAAGCTTCATGAGCAGTGCTATAATATCCATCATCCAAAAGATCACTGCGAAACACGGCGACGAATGGTTGAAGGGGGATAATCTCAACACGGCACACCTCGACTACTTTTATCGGGTGTTGGCATGTTTGAGCACCGTAAATTTGGTTGTGTATGTGGTTTTGGCTAAGGGTTTTGTGTATAAGAAGCTTCAAAGGAACAACGTCAATGGCTCGTAAATTAGTAGATATCTTAAACACCTTGCTCAAGAGGCTTTGACATGAATGTTTGGATAAAAAAATTACCTATCATTTCTCTCCAACAATGATACAGAGATAATTTGCACTTGAATTAAAAAAAAAAAAAAATACAAAAATATGATGTTCTTTAATTTGTTTCCAACACTTGTTTAAGAATACAAAAATATTTTTTATTTATATAGTAAATAGGTTTAATAAGTTTTCAAAAAGAATGAAAAAAATCATCCTTTTGTTTTTATTAATTTATTCTAATTTATGAGGAAAGCAATTTAATACCTAAGCATAATACCAGAGGTAGTTTTAGAAACAAACATGTTGTGGGAAGTAGTTTAGAATATAACATATTGTGAGAAGTCATTTTCAAAACACATATATTTTCGTTTTATGATAACAGTGTTATTGTTTAAAAGATATGACAATAAAGATAAAAACAGATATATCAGAGATAGATTTAGGATCGTTGATGGATATGTTACATGTTGGTTTATGAACAGGGTCTTCAGATATTTGGGGTGCCAAATTTACTTGTTCTTGGGCCTGGTCCTTCTAAATAAAAACAATTACGAAAAATGACTATCTTCCCCCAATTTCATATTTGTCGATCAAAAAGCAAAGCTTGACTCTTCGTTTTTCTCTTCACTTCTGTTTCCGATTTGCGTATTCGACTACTGAAATCCCCAAAGGCTCGAAGATGATTGCTTCTAATATGATTTTCGATACTTAACGGAAACGACAACGAATTGATTCAAACCACTTCCATATAGTAGGGAATCTGCTGATCTGCATGATACACATTCTAGAAACCGATATGCTTCTCACAGCTCAAAATCAGAGAAACCAATTTGTTTCGTCTACACAATACAAATTCGTAAATCTGTGAGAGTCTACAACCTTGTTCGAAAATCTGAGGGTTTGTTTGGGATTTCTCAATTCTCTAGTCTGAAGTCTCCGCAATTCGATATGTTTGAGAGTGAGACCTGCAACTCTGCATCATTCAAGCTCCCTAAGTAGAGGAGGAAAATTCTAATTCTTTTATGTTACTCTCTTTATTCTTTAAATTTCTTTGCCTCTTTGGTTAATTGCCATAGAATTATTTAGGGTTTCTAATTATTCTAATTCTTTTATGTTACTCTCTTTCTTCTTTTGATTTTTTATTTGTTTATTGTTTAAGTTTCATTATATAGTTCAATATTGTTAATTGTTTAGGTTTAACCTCTTTGTTGTCCTTAACATATATGTATCTATTTTATATTATTTTGCAAAGAAATCAAAAGCTTTTGGACAAGGGATAACCAAAAATCAGTAGCCACATTATGCAGTACTAGTGTTGTTATCCTCACTCAGGTTGTTCTGGTTCTTACTGCTTTCTACTTATTCAGTTTCAACATGTCTTTCGGGGTTAGAAATGGATGTCAAAAACATAAAAAGAAAACAATAATTCAATAGATAATACAATCTCAAAAAGGACCACTTGATAAGTTTGTCATAAAAAGAATCATAAGCTTTTCTTGATAATGAGGGTACTTATGTTAGTGAATGATATTCATATTGATGATACAAATGTTGATGCTACTAATATTGATGGTACAAATATTTATGCTAATGTTGAGGCTACTAATGTTGATGCTAGTGTTAGTTTGGATGATATTCATGTTAAGGTTAATGCTTCTAATGATGTAATGAATTTTCAAAAAATGGGGAGCATAACGGCTGTAAATCGGACGTTTCTAGGTTAAAGTTAAACAATCCTTACGGTTTCCTAATAATCGGCAACCCGAACTAGATGTATACTACAATAATGTATTAAAGATAGACAATCCTAAAGTTTGATCAACAAATGACAACCCAAAATAGATATATAATACGATCACAGATAAAAGATAAAACAATCCTAACATTGGTCTAGCAATTGACAACCTAAATTAGGTATATAGATGATACATATTTAAGGTAAACAATCCTAAGTTTGCCCAATAGATGGAAACTTAAACTAGATATATACGACGATCTAAACTAAAAATTATAACAAGTATATGTTGAAATAAGAGATGTTGTATTCAAGTCTTGTGTTTAAAACTGTTTTATATTGCTTTGTTTACATGATTTGTAATGATAGGTATAAATAGGGTAGTTGGTAGTTGTTGTTAGTTAGAATATTGTCAATCACATATCGGGCATCTTTGTATTCTTAAGAACACTCTGTAATCATTTGACATTTCAATATATATATATATATATATACTTGGATCTTAAAAATCATTCTTGTGTTCTTGAATCTTGATCTATATATGTTTGTGACTTAATCTGGGATCTGCAATTGGTATCAGAGCAAATAAGAAAGATCTTTGATTGAAATCGGAATGGAATGCTGTTTGAAAATCTTGAATTTTTGGTTCCACAGGTTCTGTTAGAACCCTATTTATAAAAGTGTAAGTAAGAAGCCTCTTACTCTAGTCAAATATGAATTACTCTTAGAAGCAGTCTGGACCAAGAGCTCGGATACAGAGGTCACCAAGAGACAGAGCTCTCTTTCATACAGAGCCAGAACCTCTCATGCAGAGCCTGTGCCCAAACAAAGAAAGATCAAGTCTTAAGCGGCAAAAAGCTTAAGGACTTGATATAGAGCTATCACTCCAGACGCAGAGCCTCTGAGTCTCCAACGCCCTTAGTTTGCACACAAGTGGTTCAGTCTTATCTCCAAGTCTCTAATCAGAATATGCCATGTACCCATTAGCAGTTCCACATTTCAAGGAATGTGAAGGCTGGAGATTCTAAACAAGAAGTCAGAGTTTGAAGCCTAGAATTTAGGAGATTCTGTTTTACATGGACGTATAAAAGGAGGTGTCCTCTTCGGGTTAAAAATACCTGAAGAATTGCCAACTTTGAATACGCTCCTATTATAGAGATTTCTTGAGAGAATACTTAGTTAGATTGAGAGAATACTTAGTTAGATTGAGATATGTTCATATAATCTTCATCTTAAGCAACCGATTTATTCAAACTAATCTTCATTTTTATTAGTTGATGTTTAAATCTGTTAACCTATTTCAACTACACAATACTTGCTTCCACTCAAACTCTGTTTAAACTGTTTTTCTTGATACTTAAGAGGAATCTGGGTTCCTACAATTGGTATCAGAGCCTGCTAATCAAATCAATTGCTTATTCGATCTATATCCAATAGGATAATCCTCTTTTGTTGGTTGATTGTTTTATAAAATGTTTTTCATTCCAAATCTTAGAACCATTCTTTTTAAAACAATTGCTTTTAATATTCTCCAAGACTGCTAGTATTTAAAGTTCAATTTTTCCTTAAATATTCAAACTTCCCATTTATTTTCTCTCTAAAACAACGTTGAAATGTCTAATCAATCTTGGAACTCGATGTACAGTGTCGGTTCCCTCACAAAACCTCCTACTCTCATTCGAGATGAATATCCCCAATGGAAATTAGGATGATAAACTTCTATGAAGGTCTCGACCTTGAACTCTATGAATCTATTCTCAAAGGTCCCTATGTGCCCATGACTTTAATCCTTAGGGTTCCACCCACTGGCAATACCGTTGAAATTCCTACAAGATGTGTTCCCAAACTCCGAAGAGATTGGGACGATGAAGACAAGAGAAGGGTGGAAGTCGATCAAAAGGCTAAAAGGCTTTTGATAATGGATCTCCCGAATTAAATCTTCCAATCCTTGGATGCATGTGAATCCGCTAAGGATTTATGGGATCAATTGGCCAATCAGATTGAAGGCGAGATCAAAATGAATAAGAATAGGCGTGCTCAATGTCTAAATGAGTACAACAGCTTCCAGGCCATCCCCCATGAGTCTCTCGAGTAGACTTATCATCGATTCAACATGCTAATCAACAAGTGCAAAAAGTGCGACGTGATTAGAACACAAGAAGAGAACAACATTCTCTTCTTGAAAAGGTTGAATGACGAACGGAGAAACCTATCTATGTCCCTTCAAGTGAATCAAGATTTGGAATAGTGGAGGCTGTATGACGTCTACGACACCTTGCAGTCACCAGAACAAGAGGTGCAGAAGAACAAAGTCTCTCTGGGTGGACCTCAAGCTCTTGTCTCTGACTCCAAAGAGACTGGATCTAGCCAATCATCCAGAGAAAGAAGATCGAAAGAAGATAGAAGAAGAGGGAATAAAGCGCTGGTGATAGAGAGTGATGATGAAGACGGAGCATCAAACTTTGAAGATGACGACATTAGTGCATTTGCACAATCCTTGGCTCTTATCACCAAGGAGTTTCAACGAATGTTTGGGAGAAAAGTATTTGATAATAAAGGAAGCAGAAGTGATCAGGGAAAAGACAGAGGGTACTAGCCAAAGAACCCTCCTTCTCAAGTGATCAAGAAGAAGGAAGAACATCCTGAGAAGAAGAAGCATGGAATCAGATGCTTCAGATGCAGAAGGATGGGTCACTATTCTAAAGAATGTAAAGGCCTCTGGTCAAAGATGAGTTGTACTACAAGAATAAATATAAGTACAAACGACCTCAAAGGAGCCTTATGGCCGAACATGAGAATTGAGTCTCTGATTTTACCTCAAATGAAGAGGAATGACTGTTGATCCTGGTGCATAAGAGTCTGGATCTGGCTCCGATTCTCAGGTATGCTCTACTTCTAGCTTTTCCATTCTGAACTAGAGCAAAGCATCTCTATTTTAACCCAATATTTTGCAAAACTACAACTAAAGCTCTCTAATGAAAAAGGAAAAAGAAAATCTTTAGAAAAAGAAAAGAATTTCTTTGAGAGAGAAATAAAGCTTCTAATTGTAGAAAAAGAGGAGCTTTCTGTGGAAAAATATGAAATTTTGAAAACCAAACTCTCCACAAAGAATGTTTTAAAAATAGAGTGCTCTGAGCTTAAGAAGGCTATAGAAAATAAAGATAAGGAAATAATAGAAAAAAACATGACAGATTAAATTCCTTAGCCTTTAAAAACTACTTTCAAAAGGAGAGAGAATTCTTACACCAGATGTTAGACCCCATCATTCTTATTTGTAAAAGTAATGAAAAA